TTGAGCACGTGCTACTTGCTGTAATGGTTGAACCTCAACCAATTCTTTTTCATACAGTGACTCTTCCTTCCATCTTCTTTTAATGCTTCCTTCATTTTCAATATTTTGTCCACAGAATTCTTCAATATTGCAACTCGAGGCTTGATTTTTTTTTCTCCAATTCTTTCAGCTTGAGAAATGCCAAATAAGTTCTTTCCTTTTGTTTTTCTAACTTTGTCTTCTTAAACTTTGAAATCATATGCTCAGCTCTTTATCATTTGTTCCATTCACTTTAGCTATTCTATGTTCTAGAGAATGTTTCAGAATCTTTTCTGACATCTATTTTAGTCTTCTCTTTCTTTCCTGTTTTTTTTTTTTGAACTTTTACTTTCTTCATGTATGATGTCCTTGATGTCATCCCAGAACACTTCTGGTCTTTGGTCATTTGTGTTCAATGCATCAAAAGCTAATCTTGAAATGGCCTCTAAACTCAAATGGGATGTATTCAAGATCATACTTTGGCTTTCACAGATTTGTTTTATTTTCTTCAGCTTCAGCTTGAACTTGCATATGAGCCATTGATGGTCTGTTCCGCAATCAACCCCTGGCCTTGTTCTGACTGGTGACAGTGAGCTTCTCCAGCATCTCTTTCCACAGATGTAGCCCATTTGATCCTTGTGCATTCCATTCGGTGAGGTTCATGTGGATAGTCACCATTTATGTTGTTTAAAAAATGGTATTTGCAATGGATAAGTCATTGGTCTTGTAAAATTCTATCATGCAATCTCAGGAATTATTTCTATCACCAAGGTCATACTTTTCAGCTTCCTCTTCTATGTTTCCAATTTTTGCATTCAAATCACCAATAATCATCCATGGATCTTAATAGCATGTTTGATCAATTTCAGACTGCAGAAGTTGGTAAAAATAAATAAATAAATAAATGTCTTCATTTTTGGCATTAGTGGTTTGTGCATAAATTTGAACAATACTATTAACTGATCTTCCTTGTAGAGATTCTTATTATCCTATCACTGACAGAGTGATACTCCAAGACAGATCTTGAATTATTTATTTATTATTTTTTGCTCTGGTAGTGTAGCTCCAAAGGCGCTTGACTGCTAACCAGATGGTTGATGGTTCAAACCCACCAGCCACTCCTCAGAAGGAAGGTGGGCTATCTACTTCTGTAGTGATATCACCTTGGAAACCCAAGGAGGGGTCGCTATGAGTCAAGTCTGACTTGATGGCACATAACAACAACAATATATATGACATTGTTCTTCTTCAATTTGTCATTCCCAGTATAGTAGACCATATGATTGTCCAATTCAGAGTGGCCAATTTCAGCTCACTTATGCCAAGGATACTGATCTTCAAGTGTTCCATTTCATTTTGATGGTTTCCAAGTTTCTTATATTATACTTCTTACTTTCCAAGTTCTGATTATTAATAGATTTTTGCAGCTGTTTCTTCTCATTTTGAATCATGCCACATCAGTAGATGAAGGTGCTGAAAGCCTTTTTCCATCTACATTATTAAGGTCAACACTGAATTTTTTTTCTACTTTGAGGAGTGCCTTCCAACCTGAGGGAGTCATCTTCTGGTGCTATATCACCCAATGCTCAGCTGCTATTCATAAGATTCTCACTGCTGTTTCTTTAGAAGTAGATTGGCCGGTCCTTTTGCCAAGTCTGTCTTAGTATGGAAGCTCCACTGAGACTTGCCCACCATGGTTGACCCTGATGGTAGTATTTGAAACACCAGTGGCATAGCTTCCAACATCATAGGAACATGTAAGTCATCACAGTATGACAAACTGACAGATGAGTGGTAGTCAACTGTTGATATTCTTGATTAAACCTTCTTGGTTTAAAGGATATATTTTTACTTTACACTTTTGTTAATTGGAAACTATTATTTTTGCCTTTGAAAATGACAGAATCTCTCTCATTAGTCCATTTTCTTGGTTCATGTGAATATGAAACTTGCTTTGTAGAAGACATATGCTTAAAAGCAAAAAGTAATGAGGTAAGGCCAATTGAACTAATTATTAAAAATTGGCAACTATAGATAAAGGTACATACATATGCTCATTGTACTTTTTTTTCAAATTTTTTGTTGCTTTCAAATTTTTCACAATAAAAAGCTGGGGGGAAAACATTGTTCATACTGGATTTGATCATGAAATCCACATATAGTGAAGAAATTCCCACAAATTGTAGTTTGAGGAAAATAACATAGCTCTGAAATATAGGTAGTACTGATCTCATCTAGCTGTTGAAGAAATCTATGAAATATAAACCTATGAGACAATTAATATGTTATCAGCAATCACACTAGCTCATCAACTCCTTGGACGAACAGATTGTGAGAGGCCTAATCATAACTCCACAGATAATGAGGAACACAGCATACTTGTCTTCAGGAGTCTTTGTTCAGCTTCAAGCAGGATAAACTAAAAGCCTATTTGCAAATAGATTCTAAGAAGACTGACTGAGAGCAAACTGGACAAAGTGTCCTAAAGCAGCCATCTAAAGGATTCACTTGGTTTCCAAGGTGGAAGCCACATTGAAGTGTTTGCCAGTAGTACTCTGCAGTGATTTATATCCCTTACTTTTAAAAAACATACAAACAACAAAAAAAGCTATTATTCATACCTCATTATAAAAGAAATCCATCCTTGTTACTAAAGAAAATTTACTAATTCATATATTCGAGCAATGTTTCTTACTTTTGCTATGTGGAAGCCACCAAACTACGCATTGCTTAAGGTAAGTAAGACATAGCCATTACCCTGTAGGACAGCCCTTAGCAAGTAGGGTGGAGATTCCCAGTCGTGACTGCATATGAAAGCCAACAGGGAAACTTTATAAACTTTGAGTGGCCACTGCCCTACCCCCATGGATTCTGACTTAGTAGTTCTGGTGTGAACTATCTATTTATTTTTAAAGCTCCATGGGTAAATTTTGGTGGCCTGGTTGTGCAGTGGGTAAGGCATTTGCCTGCTAACCAGAAGGTCAACAGTTCAAACTCACCAGATGCTCCTCAGGAGGAAGATGAGGAAATCTACTTCTATAAAGATTCACAGCTTTGGAAACCCTTTGGGACTCACTATGAGTTGGAATTGACTCAATGGCAATGGGATCTGGGTTTTTAGATAGGTATAAGCTAACCAGAAGGCTGGTGGTTCAAATCCACCAGCCACTCCTCAGTAGGAAGGTTGGGCAATCTACTTTGGTAGTGATACTGCCTTGGAAACCCAAGGAAGGGTCACAATGAGTCAGGTGCAACTTGACAGCAGTGTGTTTCGTTTTTTCGAAGCAAATTCTTAACTCAAGTACTGTATTGGCACAATACTACTTTGGTGAAAGACTCTAGAAACAGAAATGACTTTAGAGGTTATAGAGCCAGCTCCCTATCAACATTTGTAACACGCATACACACACACACACACCCTTAGCACTAAATCCTAGATTCTCAAGCATGCCTATTAGACTGAATGGGAGTCTATCCTAAAACAACACAGTGTATGGTTAGTCCTCTTCATTTTAAGAAATGAATATACATGGTATTGGGAGCTCTGGAGGCATAGTGCCTTAGGCGTGTGACTGCTAACCAGAAGGCTGGTGGTTCAAACCCACCAGTAACCCCTTGGAAGGAAGATTGGGCAATCTACTTCTGTAGTGATACTGCCTTGGAAACCCAAGGAGGGGTCACTATGAGTCGGATCCAACTTCATGACAATGAGTTTTTTAAAAAAATAAAATAAAATACATGGTATTGACCAAGCAGAAATTAAAATTCTTTATTGACCCAAAGGTTGATGCAAAAGAATTATCAGGGAAACTGTGACAGTGCGGGCCAGCAGATTTCATTTCCAAAGTCATGGAGGCAAGAGATCTGAGTGCAGGAGGTATGACTTCAGAGGATGCTCAGGTGTGGACGAGACAATTTTGACCAACCAAAGAGAGGCCAAGTGCTCATTAAAACAGAAAGGAAATTCTGGTGTCAGGAACAAATGTTGAATGGTCTAGAACAGGAGTACGCAAATCGTTGCCCAATTTCATATGACTTGTGAGCTAAGAACGATTTTCACATTTTTAAATGGCTGAAATATCTCAAGACAAAAATATTTCATAACACATAAACATCATATTAAATTCCAATTTCATGGTCCATAAATACGTATTTTCTGAAACACAATCATGCTTATTTATTTACCTAGTGTCTAGGGCTATTATCAGATGATAAAGGTAGAGCTGAATAATTGCAATAGACCTACAGTCCACACAACCAAAAACCAACCAAACAAATCAACTAGTTGCCATTGAGTCAAGCTGATTCCAATTCATGGCAACCCCACTGTTGCAAAGTAGAACTGTGCTCCACAGGGTGTCCAAGACCTTTCACTAGGCCTGTCTTCTGAGATGTCTCAAGGTGGGTTTGAACTGCCAACCTTTCAGTTAGTACTCATGCACGTAACCATTTGCACCACCTAAGAACTCCTATGGTCCACAAAGCCTAAACTATTTATTACCTGTCTCTTTACAGGAAAAGTTTGTTGACCTCTGGTTTATAATGGGCTTCATGGGCTTTCTGAACTGACCAGGGTACAAAACTCCTGGGAGACATAATGTTGTGGATGCACCTCAGTGCACACTCAGTGTGCTAGAAGACCATTAGGACAGCAAAAGTTTCATGTCACACTACTGAACAAATCTTCTCCCTAGTGGAACACAGCTCTCATTGTATTGTTACGGTTGATAAAAAAAATCAATTTTCTGATTTAAAATTTTCAGTTTCTGTGGAGTTTTGCTATAATGTATGTATAATATACAATGTATGCAATGTACTTTTACCTAAATTTATCTACAAAAAAATAACTATCGTAATATGATAACTATCAAAACATTATCTTAGAGAACAGTTCTTAGACATTAATCTAGTTAGTATGGGTTGACTAAAAGACAAAAGACATGAAGTCTTATGCTCAGATTCACACAAAAAGTACCATTTACCTTTGATGGAGGAACAAACTGAACACATTCCAGCCATATGGTTAGAAAGAACTTTCCACAGATTGTACATTCTCTTTTCTTAGAAATTATATTCCTGAGCTGTGGGTAGCATTCTATGGATTCCATTAGCATAGGATTATTTTCTGCTAGTTCATTCATTATAAATCTTGCTGTTATTTCCTAGATTAAAAAAGAATACAGTTTCTCAGATTATTTTCAAAACAACTCTTTCATATTAATTGATTAGCATTTCACAAACGGATATTTTTGGCTTATTCCTCAGTTTCTGCTAACTTAAGATTCTTAAGTATATATAATACATTATGTTATAAATGATTAGCATTTGTAAATAAATTCAGTTTTCATCAATATAAGGAAAGCAAGTTACTTACATTGTATCTGTATCTCTTACATACAGAAACCCAAGTCATAGTATATTTATGTCATATATATTTTTTCAATTAGATATATTTAGGCTCAAATCTGGTACCTATCATTGCAATAACCAAGGACACTGTAAAAATCAAGACTGGAAGTCTCAAAATTGAGCCTGTCATATTGACTAGGGTCTAAACCTTTGCTGCTTGGAGTAGGGTTCACGGACTGATAGAATCTACATCATTGGAAGCTTTCCAGAAATATAGACTCCACACCCACCCCAGACCTACTGAATTAGAATCTACAATTTCATAAGGTTCCCAGATAAACCATATACATTAAAATTTGATAAGTGCTGGTCTAAATTATTTGTTGCACTGAGTATTTGAATCCAACCATTTTAGTAAAAAATTAGTAACTTTTAAGAACCAGTTTTTAATTCAATGTTTATTACCCGAACCACACAGAAACTTGACTTCATGAAATAATACCTTTATTATGCTAAATAATAAAAGGGAAAATGAAGAATGGAACACGCCTTTCAACACGTAATCTAAGTAAAAAATAAAAAATAAATTATACAATGTATGAAACTAAGTCTTCACTGACCAAGCAAAGAAAACAGCTGCTTCACTCCATTAAATGGCCTCAATTTTTATGCCATGCATGGAAGTCCTGTATAAATGTTACACAAATATTGCATGAAATTTTAATAGCATATAAGGTTGATTTATTTGGGACATTTTCCTTGCCAATATTTCTATATGAAATAAGACTTCCCAGTGGGATTAAAATATGCCACATCAGGCTCTGCTAGGGATCTTTGGGGACAAACACATGCATACATACTCTCACTCATCCTCCCCAATTAAAATTTTAAAGAATTTTAAAAATAACAATAACAAAAAAAATCCTATAGATTGTTACATCCCTGTTCTCTATTACTCTAACTCTCTCAATTAACATATGTGTGGGAAAATGGCCTTTATACAGCAAACTGCCCTGGACATGGGTTCCTTAAATGCCTGCTCTTTCAACACAACCTCCTACCCACTTAAGCTCATTCTCCTGGATGCTTACAAGACTGAGGTCATCCTTTCTGAAAGAATGGCCCTTTCACACTAATATTACCACAGCTTCTAAATTGTGTGTTGATGGTCACAGTTTTCCTACTTATGCTGAGAATAGCTGTGATTCTGAATCAGACACTGATTTTAGAGGTGGTTTGTTAGGCACATGAATTCAGTGGCTAAGTCTCACTATAAACCTGCAGAACACTGAGAGACAAAGATTCAGTCCCTGAAAGAACAGATGGCTGAAGAATTTGCTGAATTACATGGGACCTATAAATAGGTCACAATTACATACAGTCCACTTTTTGTATTTATGGTTGCTGGAATCAAACAGACTTGCTACACTCCATATGTCTCTTGACAACACTTACATCACCCATTACATACATCCTTCACTTACTTGCTGCCAATGTGTTACTTTGGAAGAGTAATATATACCACTAAAATATAAAGTGAAGTTATTACTTGGAAATGTCTATAGAGCAATAATATGACTATTCTTTTAGAACACCTCTTACAGTTCTCAAGGATAAACAAAGTAATGATGGTCTAATTCCAAACCCACTACCAAATTCATTGCCATGAAGTCAGTTCCAAATCGTAGCAACCCTATAAGCCAAAGTGGGGTTTCCAAAGCTGTAAATCTTTACTGAAACAGACTGCCTCATCTTCCTCCCATGGAGTGGGTGGTGGGTTCAAACAGCCGACCTTTTCATCAGCAGCCAAATGCCTTAACCACTGTGCCACCAGAGCTCCTTGGTCTAATTCCAGTGTTATTTAAAAGTCAATAAATCATTTATACAAAAATAAATTGTTCAGTTTGAATAGTTTATAAACATTATGTTAGAATGTTTGTTAGATAATGAGAAATAGGTCAGAGGTTATTTCTACTTTCAATCCATCATAAATCAAACTTAGTTTCAAGTGTATTTTTTAATTTTTCCTTGCACATGATAATTTAACTTATATTCTTTGAACTACAAAATGTCAAAACAAATATAAATCCTTAGAAAGAATGATATACTTTGAAAATGCTGCATAATAAATTGTTATTATGTGCAATCAACATCAATGGAAACAGCAGTCAAGAAATCAGACGTCATATTGCACTGGGCAAATCTGCTGCAAAAGACTTCATTAAAGTGCTGAAGAGCAAACATGTTTCTTTGAAGAGTAAGATGAGCCTAACCCAAGCCAAGTGCTTTCAGTTGCCTCATATGCATGTGAAAGCTGGACAATGAATAACGAAGACTTAAGAAGAGTTGATGCTTTTGAGTTGTGGTGTTGGTGGAGAATACTGAAAGCTCCATGGACTGCCAGAAGAACTAATAAATTCCTCCTGGAAAAAGTGCAGCCGGAACGCTCCTTGGAAGCAAGAATGGCCAGACTTCATCTCACCTACTTTGGCCATGTTGTCAGAAGGGATCATTCCCTGGAGAAGGACGTCATTGTCTGGTAAAGTGGAAGGTCAGCAATAAAGCGGAAAGTCCTCAGCAAGATGGACTGACTCAGTGGCTGCAACGATGGCTCAGGTATAGCAAGGATTGTGAAGGTGGCCCAGGACTGGGCAGTGTTTCGTTCTGTTGTACACAGGGTCTCTATGGGTCAGAGCCAACTGGATGGCACCTAAATATAACAACAACATCACCAAAAAAGAACAAGAAAATCAGACTCACTGCCATCGAGTCAATTCTGACTCATAGTGACTGCTACTGGGTTTCTGAGATAGTAAATCTTTATAGAAGTGGATTGTTCCATCTTCTTTCTGTAGAATAGTTGGTGGGTTTGAACCACTCATCTTCTGGCTAGCAGTCAAATGTCTTAGGCATTGTGCCACAAGAGCTCCTTAATACTATCACACAAAATTAAATTAGAATAATAAATTAGATAACTCTGCTAGAACACTGATCCTGGCATCCCTATTATCTTAAGTGACTATTATTTTTATTCTAATTCAGATTTTAACATTAAATTTTAGCTCATAAACCCCTGAAGTGGAAAAAAATTTTAAAATCTTTACACAAACATTGTTAATATTTCATCAATATGTTGTTGTTGTTGTTGTTGTTTGCCGTCGAGTCAGCCCTGACTCATAGCGACCCCTCCTTGGGTTTCCGAGGCAGTATCACTACGGAAGTAGGATTGCCCAAGGAAAGCAAGTTACTTATATTGTATCTGTATCTCTTACATACAGAAACCCAATGTAGGATGTAACCTAAACTAAACACCTATAATTCTTTGACATTCCAAGTAGTTTAATCAGTAATGTTGACCAAATGTCAACATGACTTTTCTTTTAAGTACTAATATGAAATGCATTATCAACTTAAGTCATCTCTCTAACAAAAAACTCTTGGCTATACTTTCAAAAATACTCAACTCGTTTATATAACTAACAGTTACTTCTATACAAAATATATTTAAAAAGCAAGCAAGCAAACAAAACTCTTGTGCTCCAAGGTTCTTACAATTTTGAGAAAGGAAAGAAATTGATCTGTCACCTCGAGTCTTGGTCCCAGCCACAGGGTTATGTTCTTCTCCTCAAGGGCTTCCTGCTACCACACTCATTAATTGCTCAGCCAGGCTCTTCTACAAGCCAGAAGCTCCTCCAACTGGCACCAGCTTTGTCTACATTACCCCCATCTTCTGGCATCCACTTACTGAGGCAACATTGAAGCATGGAGTCTGGAACCCAACAGCTTAAGGTGGCATTACTGTCCCATATACTTACTAGGTCTATGACCTACCCCAGTTACATAACCTTTCTGGTTGCTCGATTCTTCATCTATAAGAAGGTATCAATAATAGTACCTACCTGTTATGGATTGAATTGTGTCCCCTAAAAGTTACTGAAGTCCTGCCTCCTGTGCCTGTAAATATGACCCTATTTTGAAACAAGTTTTCTTTTATTATGCTAAGTAGAGGTCATGCCAAAAATAGGGTGGGACCTAAACCTAATTCGTTCCAAGTGGTGTCTTATAAGAAAAGCAGAATACACTCAAACACATGGGAGAGGGGCAGATGCCATGTGAAGATGCATCTGCAAGCAGCCAAAGAACACCAAAGATCTTGTGGCTACCAACAAGGAAAGGGCCCCACTGAGAGCAGATTTCCTGATTTGGAATTCTAGCCCCCAAAATTGTGAGACAATAAATTCATAAATTCCTGTTCTTTCAAGCCACCTATTTTGAGGTATCTTTTGTTACTGTAGCACTAAGAAACTAAGACACTACTATTTTAATGGGCATCATAATATAGTAGTTAAGGCATTTGGCTGCTGACCAAAAGGTTGGTAGTTTGAACCCAGCAGCTGCACCATGGAAGAAAGACAGGGCAGTCTGCTTCCATAAAGATTAACCACCTTGGAAACACAATAGGGGTTGCTATGAGTCAGAATCAACTTGATATCAGTGAGACTGGTTGTTATTATAGGACTAAATTAATTTTTATTAAGTCCTTAGATCAGAACTCTGTCCAGAGTAAGCTCAGAATAAGGGCTACCTATTATTTTTATTCTGAAATGATTGCTGTAAGAAAACAAGTAAGTTATGTAGAATTAAGTATTTAATTAAATACTGCATTTTTAGAAATAATTTACAATTCAATTTCAAAAAAATGTTTTTTCCAATAAAACCAGCAAATAATACTGTTTCTGAAAATATAGATCGATTCTCTGGAAGGGTGTTGGACAGTAGCTAATCAAAACTTTAAAGCATGCCAATTCTTGGCCAGAAATTTCACTTGTAGGAATAATATGGATCTGAGTCAGAAATTCACTATGAGAATGGTCACCGTCACCTTGTTCATAAAAGCCAAATGGTCAGAAAACTGTTAATAATCTAAATGTCCAACAGTAATGGAAATAGTTAACCACATTATGGCATAATCATGTAACAGAACATAATGTATTGATCAAAAAAGATGTATACTGATTTTTACAGACATAGACAGATACTAATACTATTTTGAGTGAAAAAAACAAGTCCCTAAAGAGTAGGTATAGTTTGAACCCATCTTTAGTTTTAAAAAAATTATGGACATATAGAAAGTTCTGGAAGAATAATGTCAAGGAGAGAATAGAGATTATATCTCTGGGTACTGGATTTCTGAAAATTTTAACAACATTTGTTAGCTTGTTTTTATTTTTTAATTTCTCTAAATGAGTTTAGAAAACTTTTAAAATTCAGTATGGTATCATAACTAATTTTTTCTTTTCTTCCTTGCTGGTTTTCTAATTTTCTGTAATGAACATATATTACTTGTTAAAGAGGGAAAATTCAATTTTAAAACACACTAAACCATTGGACAAGGTTAATTTTTTTTGTAGCTAGGAAACCTGAATCCTTACACAATTCCAGAAAGTCTTAAGAAAATTCTTCATGCTCAGCTATAGACACAAATGGATATTGAAAGTCCAAATTCATGATGGATAATCATACTCAATTGTGAAAGATGTGCAGTTTTTAACTCCTGTACCACCAAAGGACACACCACGAAGATCATCTAATATTCTTTCCTATTCCTTCTGTAGGAGCTCTGGTAGCATAGTGCCTAAGGCATCTGACTGCTAACCAGAAGGCGGAAAGTTCAAACCCACCACCCTCACCTCAGAAGGAAGATAGGGCAATCTACTTCCATAATGATGTTGTTGTTGTTGTTGTTATATGCCGTCGAGTTGGCCCCGACTCATAGCAACCCCTCCTTGCAGGTATCGAGGCAGTATCACTACGGAAGTAAGATTGCCCAAACTTCCTTCCGAGGAGTGGCTGGTGGGTTTGAACCACCAGCTTCTGGTTAGCAGTCAAGTGCCTTAGGCACTATGCTACCAGAGCTCCTAGATTCCATAATGATACCACATTGGAAACCCAAAGAGGGGTCGCTGTGACTCGGAGTCGTTGGCAATGAGTTTGGTTTTTTGTTTTTATTCCTTCTGTTGGAGCTCTGGTAGCATAGTGCCTAAGGCATTTGATTGCTAACCAGAAGGTTGGTGGTTCAAATCCACCAGCCACTCCTTGGAAGACAGATTGGGCAATCTACTTCCGTAGTGATACGGCCTTGGAAACCTAAGGAGGGGTCATGATGAGTAGGATCCGACTCCATGGCAGTGAGTTTGTGTTTATTCCTTCTGTTAATATTATCAACGTGTTTCACTAAAGTGAACCTGACTTCAGGACTATATTCACTCATCCCCTAGGGAAGGGAAAAAGTGAAGAGGGAATGCAAGAGGCAAGGGTCCTTCTAGGAACAAACAGTTCTTAGAAAATACTAAAAAATCACTTGTAAGGTCGAAGGCAAAATAAATTCCTCTCTTTTCTTTTCATCCTCCCAAAGAGTTCCTATACCTCCGAATTTAATCACTGTAGAAACTGGAAGTAAATTGAACTCTGTAGGCAAGAGAAAATGATAATGTCTGGGATCCACATTGCCAGTATATTAAGGCTTCATTAATCATTTGCTGTCTTGGCTAGAATGTTTTAAAAGAAGTATCTTTAAAACTGAAACTGTGGCTTTAATGTAAAGATTTGTAAGACTGCTCAAAGCCTTCACCTGTAGACTCCAGACCTCCTCCTGCTCCACAGCTTGAACTGGCTGCCTCAACAACAGTGGATTCCCTTCACAATAGAATTCCTTCAGCTTCAAGTTCTGAAACTTAAAACAAAAGAAAACTTTTATTTCCTGGCAAAATAACACACTTCACCTTGAGGGTACATCTTCAATAAAATTAGAGTAAAATTATTCTAATTAGGACTTACATTCCACACTAGTATTTTAAGAGTGGAGCATACTACAGTGTTAGATGCTTCACAATCTTCATGCTGGCGTCAATGGCTATGGCATCCCAGACACTGGACGGCTAAGAAAACTTGTTCAGGGTCATTGAACTAGTTAGTAAAATGACAGAGGTTAATCAATCAAATGCTAGGAGTATTTGGCAGATACTATATTTGTTCGATAACCAAGTATGATTAAAAGATATGGAGAAACCTTTTGTGGAGAGATTGGGACTCTCATACACTGCTGGTGGGACTCTGATATGGTACAACCATTGTGGAAAACAGTATGGCGATTCCTTCAAAAGTTGGAACTAGAAATACCATTTGACCCAGCCATTCCATTATTAGGTGTACTAAAGAAGTGAGAGCCATGACAAGAACAGACATATGCACACCCATGTTCATCACAGCACTATTTACAATAGCCAAAAGATGTAAACAACCTAGGTGTCCATCATCTGAGGAATGGATATCCAAACTATGGTACATACACACAATGGAA